TTACCTGGATATTTTGACCATTTTGCTCAAATTTATCTTTTTTAATAAAGTATTTCACCGCCTAAACCTTTAAGTAAAGAAAAATTCAAATTTAAATTTATCGAACGAATACTCTTTAATAAGTGGTTTACATAAATTATTTATTTATTTTATTATTAATATATTACTCCCTCCGTCTCAAAATATTAGTCCCTTATTCCATTTTTCATTGTCCCAAAATATTAGTCCCTATTCAAAAATCAAGTACAAAAATAATATAAATTTCCTCTTTTGCCCTTCTTTTAAATTAATAAACAATACAAAAAGTACAATTATCACATTGATATTCCTCCCCCACCTCAAATTATTTATTATTTAAAAAAAAAAAAAACACTAATTATAATAACTCCAGAAAGAAACCCTAGATTTCTTCTGCCCCAATTTTCGTGTCTCTGTCGGTGATTCTATCATCTCAGATTATTGTTGTGATGTATGTATATATAGATTCTCGCTAAAGCTAATTCGGATTTCTTTCATGTACAAAGAAAATTCACTCCCCAGATCTGATTCTACCAAGTAAGTTTCTCTCTCTCCTTCTCTCTCTCTTCTCTTTCCTCTTTTATTTATTTATTTTTTTTTTCCATTTAATTTTAATCTTCGAATTAAGAAAGAATTCTCGATGTCTTTCATCGATCTGTTTTCATGGTTTCGGAAAGTTTTTGTCTTACTTTTTACCCACATATATCGATGGTTTTGACCTTGTTATATTTAGTCATGGTCTCATTATTTGGGAAGCTATTGACTTGGTTATGAACAACTAAATGATATTTTTGTTAGGTTTTTTTAATTTTTTTTTTCATCAAGTAAAATAATTGGATTGCAAGAATTTTGATTGGTTATTTTTTGGGTTTCTCTTTAATCAGTCCAAACCCATGAAACCCAGTTGCTACTTGCTAAGTAACGGGTAGAGAATCATATATACTATGCTAATTAGTGAGGGCTTCTTGATAATATTACATCTCTACCTAGTTTGGATTGATCTTTGTTGGCATGAAAGGGGTTTGATTTTGTTGCCCTAATTGGATTGGTGCATACATAGGGGTTTTGTTGAGATATTACCCTCTTTCCGGACTGGTAGATGTGATTTAGACAGTCGAGAAGAAGAAAGCTATTAGGTCAAATGCTTTTACTTGGTTGACCAATGAGATTTGAATTTTTGTAAGACAAAGCAACTGGAGCACATCCACAGTTATCACTTAAAAGTGCTGTATTGTGTTTCAACCTGAAAATCACATTGTTTTAATATTTGAAGCAGATTTGGGCTGTTGAATGTGGTAAAGAACTTCATATCTGTAATGATAACACTAACAAATAACAACTGTATTAGGAATGAACTATGGTAGCTTTCCCAGTTGATCTATCGGCTTCTTTGAAGACAACCAAGTAAAACAAGATGACTAAGTGAGTTGACATAAGGGGGTGTTGAACCATCTGCATTTTGATATCAGTTGTTGGTATCATCTTTCCGTTACATGGACTCGACTGTTTGGGGAAGTATCTGTGTCAACATGACATGACATGGATGCGGGTGTGGGATCTGTGTCGGATTTGCCTCCTCTCTCTCGGACATGGCTAATCGAAAAGAAAGAAGAAGGTCGAGATACTTCGATATGTATTGGGTTCGAGATCTAGATTTTTTGAATCATAGCTTTATCGACGATTGAATGTCGGCTACATTAATGACATAATATAGAGTTCGAATCGAGAGAGAGAGAGAGAGAGAGAGAGAGAGAGAGAGAGAGAGAGAGAGAGAGAGAGTCATAATCTAGGGTTTGAACCAAGAGGGAGCATGAGATTTTGGGTTATTGAGTGTCGATCGTGCTACGCGCGTGTGTGAGAGAGAGAGTTTGATCGGCTGGTTTCAGTCTTTATGAGACTGCAATGCAGTTGGAGGGATTACATGTTATTCAACTGGTGAGCATTTTTGCTAGGTTTGGCTAGTTGGCCAGACCCAATAAATAAAATAATAGTTTGGGCCTACTTATAAACTTTGTTCAACAATAAAAACTTAGGCCTTTTGGTGTTTTCCCACATCTCTATTAATTACATGGGCTGTTATATGGGTCAACTTTTTTTAACTCACCTTCCTATAACAAATATATTTAAAAATAACTATTTAATGTATCCTGTATTCCTATCCAAATTTGGATTTATATCCATGTATCCTCAATTTTTTTTAGTGTCCAACTCTTAGATACACACCCACACCCTATACTTACACCCGAGTTTGTGTACCATAGGGTATCATTATGAAATGTCGACTAAATTAGGGCGTAAAGACTTAATCATGTAGAATGCTCACTTGACCTTGAATTGTATTGTCATGTATAATGTTGTCGTTGGCATGATTACTAAGGTTAGCTTTTCCGTTTCATCTACTTGCTTAGAATTTAACTTATATGTGTCTAGCACAAGCTGTATGCTCTCTCTGTCTCTCTCCCCCCATGTATACCTTTTCTTATTTAATTAGGTTAGTTTGGGAATTTTGTCAATTTTATCCCTCACTTATCTCGTGATTAGTTTGTTACCCATTACATCCCATGTATCTTAGAATGAGAAACAGTCAACTGAGTGTGAAGTCATGGTCGATCTGTGTGATTCTGTTGGTTGAAAATTTATTGAGGCTTCAGAATGAATGTGTTTCTATATTTGTTTTGTAAATTTATCCTGCACAGAACGGAGTAGGAATTCCTGCAAAGAAAATAATTGAAAATCCCTTTTCTAAATTTAAAATTGACGAAAATGTTTTGGGATATCTTTTTGCTGTTGATGTTTCATCCTGTTATTTTGCAGGTTATCCTCCAAAATAGTTGGTGGAAGATTTCAAACCCTATGTAATGAAGTTTAACACATGTTTCAAACTAAAATTTCAAAAAGCATATTTCAAGCCAACAAATACTGAAGTCTAAGATGTTGGTCCATGTATATTTTCTTCAGTGCCTTAAGTACATTCAATGATCGAAATGGGATACAATAAAGCAGCTCCCACCCGAGATATGTTACGCAATGCTATGAAATAGATAACACAAGTCTTGAAAGACCAACAGTCCAGTGAAGAGCATACCCCATTGAAGAACTTGGTGTACACTAGTCACAAGAAACATATGAATTGAAGGTGATGATAATCAGTTGATGTCTCGGAGCGTGGGTTATACTTAGAACGATGTGTCGGGTTTTGAACTTGCATGTGTGAAATGGAAGTAAACCACTCCAAGTAACCTGGCATACAATCCCATGGATGCAAGGTTGGAACTCTACGAATTGTCTCAGACAACAAGTGATTTTTCCAACTCTCCCAAATCATATCCAAGTATTTATAAACAATGATGTATTATTTTGCAATAGATCCTCTAGAGGCTTGAATTGGAGTAAAGGGCTGTGAGAGAATAGTTTGCACACTGTTAAACTGTCTCAACACCCTGTTCGGATGGTATGGTTCAACAATATGCATACATTTTAAGCATCCATTACAGTTAGCAACGTCAAAAAAAGGATGTTCAATATGCTTCTCATGGTATGGATCCCAAATAACCTACAAGAGTCAAATATTTATACGAGAGTTATGAATGAAGTTACATAATAATAAGTAATATATACATATGCGAAGTTAAGACTGACACTTACGTTATGGGCCCCTAATCTGTCAAGGTCCTTTTGCAACCTTTATAAAATAAACGATGACAAACCATATTGTGTGCGAGAAACCCAACGAAAGACATGAGACTGCTCTTTTTTATAGTCCAAATTGGGATGGGGTCTAGCACCAACAAAATACTTGTAAATCCAAGCTTCCAACAATGTCATGTATCTCGCCATATGTGTTATGGCATACCTTGTGGTAGTATTCAATTATCGGTATAAAAAAGCTAATCCGGCTGCACCCCAAGCATTAGAATCAACCAAACGCAAATCTATAAGAAAAGACAAATACACTACTGGAACACGTGCCCCAGTTGTGTCTGCAAACAAAGAGGCTAAGACTGTACGTGATGGTGATGGTGTTGGTGGTGGAGACGATTTCGGAACAAGAAGAGTAAGAAATTTGAAAACCCTAGAGAAAGAAAGGGAGAGAGGGACATGAGAGAGAGAGATGAAAGCTTCGTTTGGGAAGCGGGTTGATTTTTTGGCTTTTTGGCTATTTTAGTCGAGGCTAAAAAACTTAGTTTGGGAAGGACTTTTTAGCTTTTTAAACTTTTTTTGTGAGAGAAGATTGTAATAATTATGGGTTGGATGTGATATTTTATTTGTTATGACTAAAATAGTCTATTTTGTTTTTTGCGGCTAAAACAGCCACAAACCATATTTCCAAACTTCGCCGAAGAAAGTTAGATTTGATGAAATGAGGTTGAGAGAATATATATCATATATATATTTACCTGGATATTTTGATCATTTTGCTCAAATTTATCTTTTTTAATAAAGTATTTTACCGCCTAAACCTTTAAATAAAGAAAAATTTAAATTTAAATTTAAATTTAAATTAATGGATCGAATACTCTTTAAGTGGTTTACATAAATTATTTATTTATTTTATTATTAATATATTACTCCCTCCGTCTCAAAATATTAGTCCCTTATTCCATTTTTCATTGTCCCAAAATATTAGTCCCTATTCAAAAATCAAGTACAAAAATAATATAAATTTCCTATTTTGCCCTTCTTTTAAATTAATAAACAATATAAAAAGTACAATTATGACATTGATATTCCAAAAAAATGTACTATCAAAAGGGTAATTTTGGAAAATCAACTTTTTCAAATGCAATAATTGTACTACCAAAAAAAGTTGATTTCCCCAAAAGGGACCAATATTTTGGGACGGAGGGAGTATATTTTTTAAAGTAAAGGAAAAGCTTGGCGTATCCATTTCAAGCATTGAAAAGCGCGTGAAAAGCCTATGAATCCAATTCGCATCGTCATCCTCATCATCATCGAAGGTAAACGCGGCCGCCTTGGATTGGGAACCAATCCCTATTCCCAATCCCAATCCCATGTCATCCCCCTCCTCAAATTATTATTATTTAAAAAAAAAAAAAACCACTAATTATAATAACTCCAGAAAGAAACCCTAGATTTCTTCTGCCCCAATTTTCGTGTCTCTGTCGGTGATTCTATCATCTCAGATTATTGTTGTGATGTATGTATATATAGATTCTCGCTAAAGCAAATTCGGATTTCTTTCATGTACAAAGAAAATTCACTCCCCAGATCTGATTCTACCAAGTAAGTTTCTCTCTCTCCTTCTCTCTCTCTCTTCTCTTTCCTCTTATATTTATTTATTTATTTATTTTTTTTACATTTAATTTTAATCTTCGAATTAAGAAAGAATTCTCGATGTCCTTCATCGATCTGTTTTCATGGTTTCGGAAAGTTTTTGTCTTACTTTTTACCCACATATATCGATGGTTTTGACCTTGTTATATTTAGTCATGGTCTCATTAATTGGGAAGCTATTGACTTGGTTATGAACAACTAAATGATATTTTTGTTAGGTTTTTTTAATTTTTTTTTTCATCAAGTAAAATAATTGGATTGCAAGGATTTTGATTGGTTATTTTTTGGGTTTCTCTTTAATCAGTCCAAACCCATGAAACCCAGTTGCTACTTGCTAAGTAACAGGTAGAGAATCATATATACTATGCTAATTAGTGAGGGCTTCTTGATGATATTACATCTCTACTTAGTTTGGATTGATCTTTGTTGGCATGAAAGGGGTTTGATTTTGTTGCCCTAATTGGATTGGTCCATACATAGGGGTTTTGTTGAGATATTACCCTCTTTCCGGACTGGTAGATGTGATTTAGACAGTCCAGAAGAAGAAAGCTATTAGGTCAAATGCTTTTACTTGGTTGACCAATGAGATTTGAATTTTTGCAAGAAAAAGCAACTGGAGCACTTCCACAGTTATCACTTAAAAGTGCTGTATTGTGTTTCAACCTGAAAATCACATTGTTTTAATATTTGAAGCAGATTTGGGCAGTTGAATGTGGTAAAGAACTTCATATCTGTAATGATAACACTAACAAATAACAACTGTATTAGGAATGAACTATGGTAGCTTTCCCAGTTGATCTATCGGCTTCTTTGAAGACAACCAAGTAAAACAAGATGACTAAGTGAGTCGACATAAGGGGGTGTTGAACCATCTGCATTTTGATATCAGTTGTTGGTATCATCTTTCTGTTACATGGACTCGACTGTTTGGGCAAGTATTTGTGTCAACATGACATGACATGGGTGCCGGTGTGGGATCTGTGTCGGATTTGCCTCCTCTCTCTCAGACATGGCTAATCGAAAAGGAAGAAGATGGTCGAGATACTTCGATATGTATTGGGTTCGAGATCTGGATTTTTTGAATCATAGCTTTATCGACGATTGAATGTCGGCTACATTAATGACATAATATAGAGTTTGAATCGAGAGAGAGAGAGAGAGTCATAATCTAGGGTTTGAACCAAGAGGGAGCATGAGATTTTGGGTTATTGAGTGTCGATCGTGCTGTGCGCGTGTGTGAGAGAGAGTGTTTGATTGGCTGGTTTCAGTCTTTATGAGACTGCAATACAGTTGGAGGGATTACATGTTATTCAACTGGTGAGCATTTTTGCTAGGTTTGGCTAGTAGGCTAGACCCAATAAATAAAATAATAGTTTGGGCCTACTTATAAACTTTGTTCAACAATAAAAACTTAGGCCTTTTGGTGTTTTCCCACATCTCTATTAATTACATGGGCTGTTATATGGTTCAACTTTTTTTAACTCACCTTCCTATAACAAATATATTTAAAAATAACTATTTAATGTATCCCTGTATTCCTATCCAAATTTGGATTCATATCCATGTATCCTCAATTTTTTTTAGTGTCCAACTCTTAGATACACACCCACACCCTATACCTGCACCCGAGTCTGTGTACCATAGGGTATCATTATGAAATGTCGACTAAATTAGGACGTAAAGACTTAATCATGTAGAATGCTCACTTGACCTTGAATTGTATTGTCATGTATAATGTTGTCGTTGGCATGATTACGAAGGTTAGCTTTTCCGTTTCATCTACTTGCTTGGAATTTAATTTATATGTATCTAGCACAAGCTGTATGCTCTCTCTCTCTCTTCCCCCATGTATACCTTTTCTTATTTAATTAGGTTAGTTTGGGAATTTTATCAATTTTATCCCCCACTCATCTCGTGATTAGTTTGTTACCCATTACACCCCATGTATCTTAGAATGAGAAACAGTCAACTGAGTGTGAAGTCATGGTCGATCTGTGTGATTCTGTTGGTTGAAAATTTATTGAGGCTTAGAATGAATGTGTGTTTCTATATTTGTTTTGTAAATTTATCCTGCACAGAACAGAGTAGGAATCCCTGCAAAGAAAATAATTGAAAATCCCTTTTCTAAATTTAAAATTGACGAAAATGTTTTGGGTTATCTTTTTGCTGTTGATGTTTCATCCTGTTATTTTGCAGGTTATCCTCCAAAATAGTTGGTGGATGATGATTGTACAGATGGATAAAATGTCTACTACTCCATCATGGGAGGTGGCTCAACAACTTTATGACAAGGTATGTTGTATTCTTGTCATTAGATACTTTTTCCCCTTCGTGAATCCCTTCTTTTGTAGCTTTCTCTTATACTGAAGTGATTCTATGTTATGTTTTATACGCTTAAAAATAAAATAATAAGAGTCAATTCAGCATTGGGTTCATATGCATGCCTGCACAGTGTGTGTGTGTTTGTGTTTTGTTTTTTAAACCAAAAATTGGTCTCCATTCATTTATCAAGGCTGAAGCCAGTGGTCTGTTGATGATACTGATTCTCTTCAGACTTTTTATTGGAAAATGTAAGATTATATGACATGATTGTTGGGACTGCAGCAAATAGTAATCATATTCCACATGGTTCCTGAAGCCTTTAACCAATCTATGATATAATAGGATATCAAAAGTTTCTTTTTTTAGCAGGCATTCATTTTGGTTGTACATAATTGAATACACCCTGTAATAGTCTAGATAAGTTCTTTTTGTGAGTGAATTTTTATCTGTTGGAATGACAACATTCTTCAATGAAAAGGAATGTATAAGTACGTAGTTAATGGTTCACAGCACACACAAGCATGTAAAGCATGCATGCATACTGTGGCACACATGTTCCACATTATAGATGCATATACAAGCATGAAAGAGATGGTAAAAGAGTTTTTGGAGTTCAACATTTGCTTAATGGGATTAGTGGTTCATTTTAATGTGGATCACTTGTATATTTGTATGTCTATGTGTGTATACATCATGTGGTGGCAAGTGACCCGTGATGCTGGGGATGATTTCTTTAGTTTGTGGGGTAGAGGGGGGGAGGGAAGGGAAAGGGAATGTGATGGTTATGTTGGTTGAAAAGATAAAAGGGATGTTTAGAATTATGGGTTGTTATGATACTATTACAATTGTTAATGCCATTACGTAATAGTGGTGACGTCTACTATGTTTAAAAACCAATTTTTTGCCCATTTCCTCTTTCAGCTTTTATTTATTATTTATTCACTCAGCATTAAAGATTGAACTTAACTTTTATATGTAATTGTAACTAGCAAGTTGTATGTTGTGTTGCTTGTATAACTTGAAGATATAAATCATATGATTTTTGTTTGTTTATTAAAATAAGAGCAATGATATTCATACTCCACTTTTAGCCTCACTCTTTTTTTTGGCTTATCACAAGGGGAGTGTGAGTTCCTTGAGTTCCTAGAAGTGGAGTGCGAATATCATTGCTCTAAAATATACTAATACCTCCAAAAATGGCAAGTTGTATGTTATGTTGCTTGTATAACTTGAAGATATAAATCACATGAATTTAGTTTGTTTCCAAAAATTAATTTAAACCCCAACAAATGTGACTCTCAAAGATGTGTGAAAAATGAAAAATTTCACTGCTCCAGTTGCAACAACAATTATGCTACGCTTTTTACACCTCATGACCGTATCACTGGCACCATTACCATTGTGGCAACCACATCCATTTCTTGAAACCTTGTTTTAGATTAATGTTGATTGGCTTCAAGAAAATATTTAGAAGTATTAGGGAAAAAATTTAAAATCACATATTCTGTTAATTTTTGTTACTTGGCAACACTGACAGGTGAGGGCAATAATTTCAGAAACTATAATGGGAGTCCTTGTAATTGTCAAAAACCATTTATAATTAATTTAAACTTGAAGTAAGTGTTGAAAAACTTCTGAAGCATTGTTAATATTTATTAATCACTTTGTGTATTGTTAAGTTTTGAGTGTTGTGATGATGGTAATGTTTTGACTGCACTAGCCTTAAGATTGTTGAGAATTTCTTTACTCTTAAATTAGTTTGGGGTTCAACATTGAGATTTTGTGTTCTAAGTCCAAAATGGATGCTCCTAGTAATGAATTAAATGTAGGAGAAAGGGGACTTGGAAGAAAGGAAGTTTGTGTACCTTTCACATCAACCAATCACCAACCACATCTTGAAGCTGTTTATTATGTAGTATGGAATGATTCTTGTTGTAGCAAAATTATTTCTCAGTGAATTTTGTCTGCACAAACAGGAGAACTCTTTTTCAAGATTTAGGAAATATCTAGTTAGATTCAAACAAAATGCATCTTAGTCCTTTAAGTTAGGATGAAGGTCATCTAGAAGGATCCCTGTGAGCTGTTCCATGTTCCATGATCCGTCTTTTATGGAAGGTGGTGGGAGGTGGAAGCTAGCCTCTTGCTTCTATTAACTGAAATCATATATGTTATCCCCCTTCCTTCTATTCAAAAGGCAAGCTGCCCTTAAACAATAATATATAGTAGTGTAAAATCAAGCATGAATGCAATGGAAATTCAGTTTGATTCTTTATGGTGAACCAATGTATGGCAACAGTAAACTATAAACTCCGCATTTTGGGCATCCCTTTGTGAAAGAAATTCTAGGTTTCCAAGGTCCATATTAAACATTATCGTTGATGACTCGTGTGTGTGTGTGAGCGCTCGTGTGTATGAGCCATCTGTACCTGCAAAATCATACCCACACAAATTGCTGACATATGCTACTCCTGCAGAATATAGAGTTGGAGAATAGGCGTCGTAGGTCGGCCCAGGCAAGAGTTCCCTCAGATCCAAATGCTTGGCAGCAGATGCGTGAGAACTATGAAGCAATAATACTCGAGGATCATGCATTTTCTGAGCAGCACAATATTGAATATGCTCTGTGGCAGCTACATTACAGGCGAATCGAGGAATTCAGAGCCCACACCAATGCTGCTTTAGCTTCTACAACTTCAAGCACATCTCAGATTGTAAAGGGTCCCCCGCGACCTGATCGAATTAGTAAAATACGTCTGCAGTTTAAAACTTTCCTTTCAGAAGCTACTGGATTTTACCATGATCTAATTTTGAAAATTAGATCAAAATATGGGCTTCCTCTTGGTTATCTCTCTGAGGATTCAGGGTATCAAATTGTTATGGAGAAAGATGGCAATAGATCTATTGAGATGAAGAAAGGTATTGTATCTTGTCATCGTTGTTTGATATACCTGGGTGACCTTGCTCGTTACAAAGGATTGTATGGGGAGGGCGATTCCAAAAGCCGTGATTATGCTGCAGCTTCGAGTTATTACTTGCAAGCTGCATCTCTTTGGCCATCAAGCGGGAATCCCCATCACCAGGTTTTCCATTTCATTTTTTCCTTTTTGGGTTATTTTTGTCAATTTTGTGTGTTCCTTCAATCATCTTTTCTCCATGCTTGGATTGTTAGTTCTACAATGAGGTTGATCTTTATGATGGGAAAAATGTTTGTTCTTTCAGCTTGCCATATTGGCTACCTATTCTGGGGATGAATTAGCGGCTGTATACCGTTATTTTCGGAGTCTGGCAGTCGATAGTCCCTTTTCCACTGCAAGGGATAACTTGATTGTCGCATTTGAAAAGGTATTATCACTAAACTTGTTTGGATTACTTTTTCAGTGTTATGGTCTGTTCATGTTTTGGGTTGTCTGAGAATTTATGGTATATAGTGGTATGGTCTAGCCCTACAAATGTGGAGGTTCTTGGCATTAAGCAAACACTTACAAATTCACATTATAATTTGCCCTATGAAATATTTGCTTTTATATTTTGCGAAATTCACTTATGTTCATCACGCATCCAATATATTACTCGAGTCTGGATGAAGTTGGCTGTGAGACAATGTATTTTGGTTGTACATCATTTATAGTTGGTTTGACTCAAGGGATATGTTTTGTTCCATTTACTTTGAGGAAGTAGTTCTTATTTGCTAAAATACAGTTTTTGATGCAAGGTTGATTCGCCCCCTCCTTTTTCTTTCCCATTACTTATTTATATATATTTGGGTTGGTGGGGAGTGGGGGAACTATGCCTTATTTTTATGTTTTTTTTTTTTTATTTTTTATTTTTATCCCTGTTACGGAATGGAAATTTGGCATAGGGCCAGAACTGATGACCGGTTAATCAGTTTTTTTATAGGTTTGTTTGTGATAATTTCCTTACTTATCCAAATAATAATAATAATAATAATAATGAAAAAAATAATGTGAGAGTTTACTGTAAGATTTTTGATTTACTCATTGCAATATGAGCTGGTATGTGTATGTGCCATTTTTATATTTATCAATATATATGTTTAGGTTTAGGTTTTTGTTTCTTGTTTATGGGCTAGTCAATTTATGATTTGATGGTGAAATCAACTGATTCATAGTGTATTACTGTATTTGTTTATGTACCTGCTTTCTCTGCAGAATCGCCAGAGTTACTCTCAGCTGCATGGGGATATGAAAGCTTCTGTGATCAGTGAATCACCTGCGCAGATAACTGCCAAAGGAAGAGGGAAAGCAGAAGACAAACTCCAACCTAAGGATGCCAACGTTGGTGCCAGCCTTGTTGCAAAAAAAGCAGCCAGTGTCCATGACCCCTATAAAGCTTTCTGCATTCGCTTTGTTCGTCTAATTGGCATTCTTTTTAGTCGCACTAGGTATTTATCTTGAACATTACTGTTGTGCTATATTTGACAAGCTTCATGCAATTGCTTATATAGATGACTTTCCCCTCCAGCTTGGAAATGTTTGCAGAAGTTCTTTCTCTGGTTAGCAGTACTTTGAATGGGCTTCTTTCTTCTGGGTCAGAAGAAGAGCTGACTTTTGGCACAGATGCTGTTGAGAATGGTCTGGTCATTGTTCGCCTTATTGCCATTCTTATATTCACGGTTCACAATGTGAATAAGGATGGTGATGGTCAGAGTTATGCGGATATTGTACAACGTACAGTTCTGCTTCAAAATGCACTTGCTGCAGTTTTTGAATTAGTGGGGCACATTTTGAAGAGATGTGTGGAGTTGAGTGATCCTTGTTCAAGTTACCTCCTTCCTGGCATTCTAGTTTTTGTGGAATGGTTGGCTTGTTCTCCTGATGTTGCAGCAGGCAGTGATAGAGAAGATAAACAAGCAACTGTTAGACTAGTTTTTTGGAATCATTGTATATCTTTCTTAAATAAGCTTTTGTCAAGTGGGCTAGTGGTGATGGATGATGAAGATGAGACCTGCTTTTTCAATACGGGCAGGTATGAGGAAGGTGAAACTGAAAATCGGCTTGCTTTGTGGGAGGACTTCGAGTTGAGAGGATTCTTGCCCCTTCAACCTGCACATACCATTTTGGATTTTTCAAGGAAACATTCTGTTGGAGGTGATGGCAACAAGGAGAAAATTGCTCGTGTTAAAAGGATTCTGGCAGCAGGAAAGGCTCTAGAAAATGTAGTTAAAGTTGAGCAAAAAACAATAATTTTTGGTTTGAAGGCGAAGAAATTTATTTTGAGTGTTAAACCTCAAACATCAGATGATTTCATGCTTATGCCCTTTTTGGGCAGTCCTAAATTAAATGGTGTGAATCGCCAACCTCCAATAGAGACTATGAGCAATGCCTTTGTTGTGCAGACAAATGCACAGCTATATGTGGAAGGGGAAGAGGAGGATGAAGAGATTGTTTTCAAGCCAACAGTGATGGAAAAATGTAGTGATTTGATTGTTTCAAAGTGGATGCCTAATGAGGGTCTTGAGCCTAGCAAAAATGCTGTTGCTGGTAATTCTCAGTTTCATGGCAGTTCTGTTTCAGCCCAGCACAGCGATCTTCACCAGCGGACTGCTGTTGATGCAAGTTCACAACCACCTGTTTCTGTTGCCAACCATGTACTGCAGCATCCACAACCAATTCCATCACACTCTTCAATGTGGTTTGACCAGCAAGCTTCTCTTGCTAATGGCTTCAAAGGTTTAAACATCTTGGAAAATGGGCACGTAATGAAACCTGGAATGCCAGAAGATACACCCATTTCACACCATTCTTCACTTTCTCTTCCAGTCCAACAATCTATCAATGTCAATGCAAGTGGTATATCTTATAGTCAGGTAAAGGCGTCAGAAATGGTGATGCAACGTGAGATTGATATTGTTGGTTCTTCTGGAGTTACTTCTGGCAGTTTTGCTGTAAATACATCATCACCGTTGTCAGCAAGTTCGAGAAGAAGTCCAGTAAACCGACCAGTAAGGCATCTTGGCCCTCCACCTGGTTTTAGAGCTGTCCCTCCACCTGGTTTTAGCGCTGTTCCTCCTAAATCAGTAAATGAGCTCATATCTGGGTCAGATTTGGTGGCTGATAATCTACTCATGGATAACTATAGCTGGTTGGATGGATATAAGTTGCCATTACCAATGAATAGCTCAGTGCTCAATCAATCTATCAATCATCCATCCCAGTCAAGTCCCCATCATACCAGTAACAACAATGTCTCTGTGGGGACAATTAGCTTTCCCTTTCCTGGAAAACAAGTTCCACCAAAGCAGTTTCCTGTGGAAAAACAGAAAGGCTGGGAGGATAACCATACTTTTGAACATCTAAATTTACACCATGAACAACTGCAGCTGGAGCAGCTCATGAAAGGAAGTCAGCAGTTCCCACTGCCAGATCAATTCCAAGGACAGTCGATGTGGGGGGCTCGTCACCCTGTGTGAATCATTTTGAGAGCATCAGATGGTAAGTTAATGCTGTATACACTGCATCTGTTGTGATTGATATTTTATGTCCTGATTTGCAATTTTGTCAAATTTTATTTGGTAGAATATTTATCTGATGCAATGTATTTTTGTTATTGAGGTCCTCAAGAATGATTGTTGTGGATGTCCTGCGTCCTGCTGGTACCATATTGATACTCCAACTTGGCGGTCCTGTTAATTTTGTTTAGTTTTTGTTGGAGCATGGTAGTGTTGGCATGTTGCAGGCTCTTGCTAGTTAACAAGTGAGTATCTGCTCTTTCTGTGTGTGTGTGTGTGTGCGCGCGTGCGTGTTCACATGTGACTGCTCTCTCATGTTGTGTGATTGTCTTTAGAGCAACCTTCAATAACTAATAATCCATGAGAACGTACATATCAGCTGATCAATGATGCTATATTTATTATTTTATGAATATTCTTTTGACAAAGAAGCTTTATGACATGGAAACATTCCAAATTTCCTTTGATCGAAATGTTTGGACGACACCAATGTTTGAGTCTTCTAGATATCAGACACCTTTACAATATGTTGGTCATCAATCCCAACCCCCAAATCAAGATACTGTATTTGTTCTGATGTAAAGAAAACCGACATTGAAAATTGACACACAGAGTTAAAAATTTGTGCTAGTTATTGGTAGATATATTTGATATCATTATATGACTATTAGAGTTTCTCATAATCATTGAGATGTGTTTTCATCGAAATTAGACATAGGGAAAATGATTGATGTAGGGCGTAGGAAGAAGGATTTTTCCTAGCAAGAGTTGAGCAAATTCACAACAACACAAACTTGAGTTCTCTTAGTATTCAAACCCACCAAACTAAGGCCATTACACCTCACACCACATTTTAATAGAAAGTCAAACTTCGAGGCCAAGTTTTAGCCTTTTGGACACTTGGTGACTTATAAAATTTGACCCAAACAAGATCTATGGATCCATGTCACAGCCCATTGACCCAAACTACAACCCATCCCCATAAAATTTGGAGTTGCCAAAATATTTTTATAAAAAGAAGCTGCACATGGAACTAAAAATTGACCAGCAGCATATTAATTTAGAGTGAATGTAAGTAAAGGCACTCGATGCTATGGTGGGCAGTTTCCATTTGACACAAAAAACTTCTAGATTGTTAGAATCATAGACTTTGTTTTAGGCTTCCAAACTTATACTTAGTCTATTCAACTGATGTTGTTTTAATGAACTATCGAAATCCCTGCAACTTCATGGTTTTCAACTAATGTAAAGTACTTGGTCGGTATACTCCTAAAATGTTTAAAAGATCAAGCATATGTTTAATGGCAAAATCTAAAAATAACCAAAAGGCCTCACATGATTTTGAGAATGAAGTGCAATGCTTGTAAAATGACCTCTATACTTCTCTCTCTCGCGCTCTGTCTCTCTCATTTATTTATTTTGTGGTCTTTTCTCATCTCGTCTTTCTCTCCTGCATTATAGATATATACACGTCCCCAAAATTTTAAACTTATTTTCCAATTTAATTATATCTTAGATATCCCTAATTTTTTTAACCTAGTTTCTAACTCAACTATATCTCAAGTTAATACATATAGATGTATGCACACTACACATATATACACATATATTGAAGTTGCAGGAAAAGTCCCTTGTACCCTGAGTTGGTCACATCAGAAATCAGAACACCATTTGCGTTAGGATTGTCGCCCTTGTTCTCTTCTCTCTTCTTTCTCCTACAGTGTTCGAAATCACATCTGGCCCGCATCTCCACATAATTTATATATAAAATATATATATCCAAGTAGATGGTGGTATTCTTTTATAAGTCCTGAAATTCAGGGTAATTTTGCAGGTCATGCAGCACTCTTCAGACCAGAGGAAGCAAAATTGTGAACATTTCTACAATGCGCAGTCCGTATGTGTAAATCCCATCGGTGGAGAGAGATAAGTAGACGTCAATAAGAGCATCCATTGGCTTTGGGGGGTTTGTCTCAAGGACAGTTGGGTGGGAATAAGGGTTGTACACACACTATTCTAAACTGTGATAGCATTCTGTCTAGCTGTCCGATTAGTCTTGTCATGTCAATATCCTCATCACAGTTACCCTCACCGCATTATTGGTTCTTTGGAAGCTATTACTGGCCAAATGTTGTTCCAGAAAGCATCAGCGCTCGATGTCTGGTATGCTCGCTTGCTAAGGTGGAGTTGGAGTTGGGTAATATTTGAGCTTGAACCAGATATGACAGGATCATAGTGGAATAAAGAGCCAAGCAGTATATCTATCTAGTTAATTTAGAAGTGTGCGTGCGTGTGGATAAAAGACCTATGTCTGTGTCTTTCCGTGGTTCAATAATGAAAAATGACTCAATGTGGAGTACATTTATGTCAATTTCTGAATGGTTTGATTTGGGGGACAACATTTGCTTTGTTTTTTCAAATGTTTAAAATACCTTGTTTCAGCTGTTTGTTGATGTTTTAAATATTGTTCTGCTAAATCTTCTTCTCGACATTCATCTATGTTGCTTTTATGTTTTTAAAATTTTACAAAATTAGTGTTGATAATATAATCTTGTGTCTGGCCCAATGTAATTTTACGTTCTTTTTTATTATTTTTATTTATATTGTGGGTTAGGATTTATTATTGTTATTTATATATATTGTGGGTTAGGATCTGGGGGAAGATGGTGAGGGGGTTAAGGGTTAGGGTTAGGGTTTTATATTTAATTACAATTTGAGTACATGAGATTTCATCAACTTTAGTTTTTAGGTTCGGAGAATAAAGAACTTATGTTTGGTTTTACAATTTTAAAAATAGTTTTTGAGTTTTCAATTTATCATCAGTACAACATCTATCATTCTTGACTAGATGTTGCTTCTTGCCTTGTAAAGTTATGCAAAGCTAGTGAAATCACAATATTCAACCATTCTATTTCAAGTATGACAGCGGGCCACGCTCTCTAAAATTGGCAAATTAAACTTTCCGAACATCAAAACATTCAATGACTTTCCTTAGCCCTACGAATCCTAGTTTAATAGAAATCAAATTACATCAAAAATCCAATTAATTTGAGGATGCTGAGTCAAAATTCAATGTGAAGGATTATATTAAATTAAAAGTTTAAATATGAAGAATGGTTGTTTGGGATGTCCTAAATAAGTGTACTTTTTATCTTTTTGAACTAAAAAGTTGAAAAAAAAAGATGGATGTTTGAGTTAATTTTTTGTTTTTTTACGAAAAAATATGGAATAAAAAATTGTATAAATAAAGTGTATAGTGGAAGAAAGTTAAGTGGATGTATAGCTGCCCTGCTGTCCCAGCATGTCTTACACAGAAAATAATTGCCAGCATGTCTTACACAGAAAATAATTGCCTTATTTGAGGCAAAGTGTTTGGACAGTGATGGTCAGTCCGTGAGGGCCACCATGGGTCCCATTTTAATAATCTGAACCGTTCAATATGTACAACTCGTCGAGTATTATATGCTTGTAAAAAATCACGTTGATCGGATATCAATAGCTATATGATCGGATTGGTTTTTTTTCAACAGTTAGCTATCACACCATCCGTTTTGTTTATACAAAACTGATTTGATCATATAGTTAACGATATCCGATCAACGTGATTTTTTATAGGCATATATAACTCGACGAGTTCTATATATTAAACGGTTCGGATTATCAAAACGGAACCCTTAGTGGGCCCCCAAGGGCCTAACATTACCATCAAATTGTGACTTTACATATGTAATTTTTTTTTTTGGCTAAAAAAAGTGTATAATGGCCTTCCTGCCTGCTTCAGAAGTACGACTGACAGCATCCATCAAACTTTTGTATTATAAAAATATATAAAATATTTTTTATTTGTGAATAGTAATGGCTTTTTTACTTTTTTGTGTAACTTTTTGACTTTTTAGATTATTTTGGATTTGCCAAACCTGGTCTTAATTAGGGGGAGGTGATTTCTTACTTGTGACAAGACGTCAACCTTTGACCTCTAGTAAGAGGTGAGAGTTTTAACCAACTAACAAATCCCCAATTAGTTAATTTATTCATATTGTATTGGTGTTCGAATCCTTTAGAGTGATCCTCTAGGGTTTTTAAAGGGTGGTGGTGGACAGTAATGGCAGCGATCTGGTGCTCTCTCTCTCTCTCTCTCATGCTTGGGTTTAGCGATGATGGGGGTCCTAGTGTTTGAAGAGGTGGTCGACAGTAGATAGGAGGGGTAGCCGACAACCAGAGTCTGGTTAGGGTGCATTACCGTCCTCCGAAGAAATAAAAGAGAGGAAGAGGAAAAGAGAAGAGGCGGAGGAGAGAAGAAAGGGCGGCAGACGGCGGGACAAAGAGATGATTAGAAGGAGGAAGAGGAGGAGGAGGCTGCGATGGAGATGGCTTTGAGGGGCAGGGGTTGTGTTTGTTTTACTCGGTGGCAAATGGCTCTGTCGGTGGGGCGGCAAACTACTTCACTCTTTCTCTCACAGGGCAAACTAAAACGAAGGAAATATTTTTAGGGAAGATCTCGTCCCTTCACACCTTTAGTGGGATAGGTATCGTGCCCTAAGCTTTTCACTCCACTAGATCACTCTACTATTTCAATCTAGAGGATTTGAACGCATTATATTGACATCTAGTACGAGGTAAGAGTTTTAACCAACTAACTAGTCCTAATTAGTTAATTTGTTCATATTATATTGAAGGGTAAAAGTTGTAGGAACAATCTTCTGTGTATAATAAATAAATTGAAACCAAATCAAACAAATAAAATAAATAACGTACCAAAATTATTTTACCGAATCGAAGAATAATAAAAAAAGATCAAGTCGAGTGTGTAACACTCTGTCCTTAAGACAGATTCGTTCCGCTACGGTGCTTACGGAATAATGGCGTCTATATCCCAAGATATAATGATCTTCACAAATTTGTAGTAGCACTCCAAACAAATTTGTCTGGCGAACTAGGACCTGTGTTCTATACTCTCTTTAATTTTCCTAAAAATTAATATGAAGAATTTATGCAAACATAGTAGAAAATTGGAGAGCAAACAAGTAATTTTCAGACTATTTTTCAAATCAGAATGACTGCTGGAAATGGCAGTATTTATAGACAACCAAGGCTGTCCAAACAAGTGCAGTTCTTGAATGAACAGATGTGAAACTGTTTGAACAGATATCATTCAAAATTCAAACAGATCTGCAACTGCTGCAGTTTATAAAACTGTCCAGATTTTGAATCTGTCTAGACAATTATGAATCTGTCCGGATATGAATAGATTGAAAAACAGTTTGGATTGAAAAATCTGTTTGTGGAATTTGTATATGAAAAGAGGTACAAAATTATGGGCAAAAATTTGAATTCAAATTCAAATTACAAAGATGCAAAATTTAAATTAATTTTTCCCACAAGAAATTTGGAAAAAATTCAAATAAATTTTGTCCAAAAAATTAATATTAGAACCGACCCGATCTACAACCGCGCCCGGCACGGCTCGGCTCGACCGGACGGACGACGACGGCGGCGGCGCGCATGTGTGGTGGTTTGGGCTAAGGTTTAATTTGTCCATAACTCTTCCCTTCTACAAACTTGGGGTGCCCTTCGGGGCCTAACCCAAGTTAGTAAACTAAGAGCTTATATACTCACAAAAGCTCTCTTAAAGTTTCAATGTGGGACAATCCATTTCAAGAAAACCCACATTTAATTCTTTAATTGTCCATTCCACGAACTCGAAAACGACGTCAAGTTCTCATTCACCCATAAATGGTTTTGACGTACAGAAAATGCAACAACATGATCTAATTACAGAGAGTACACAAATTGGAAATATTCTGCAAATGATAGGTAGCTTTTGGCTTTGAACCTTCCCTTGTGAGACACTATTAGATTTACTAGCTAACCAGTGAACATGATGTCTTGAACTGTTCAGCCGTTTGTGTAAACCAAAACAATAGAACTCGCACAGTATATCCCCAGACACAGTTTAGTTCTTACTATTGTGTTCATTTTAGCGCTGAACAACTTGGTTTTTCATGAGTGCTCTAGAGAATTGTAGCCCTTCACAAATCTCATAGAACCAGCCTAGTTCACACTTACATAGGTGATTCTTATGAAAAGTATCATACCATACTCCACTAGGTATACCTAGATATAAGAATCATTAAAAGTATTACTTAACCTAAAACTCTGCAGACATCACTATTTCATCATAGAAATGGGTAAGAGTTTGAATCCCCAGTGATCCTTCTGAGTCATACACAACTTGGTTGTCCCTTTGAATCTAGATCTTGGGATCTCCAGTCAACTAAGTTGGGTTGCCATTGTAGTAAGTCTTATTTAATAAGCTTACGTCCCATTTCCCTCGATGAGTTCTCAACTAACTCTCTTGCTAACCCTTTGGTTAGTGGATTTGTTATGTTGTCATCAGACTTTACATATTCAATGGAAATAATTCCATTAGAGAGTAGTTGTCTCACGGTGTTATGTCAATGACGAATGTGGCGAGACTTACCGTTATACATATGACTCTGTGCTCTACTTATTGCTGATTGACTATCGCAATGTATGCATATAGCAAGCACTGGTTTTGGCCATATTGGAATATCTTCAAGGAAGTGACGAAGCCATTCTGCTTTTTCCCCAACTTTATCTAAAGCTATGAATTCTGATTCCATAGTAGACCTAGATATGCAAGTATGTTTGGAAGATTTCCAAGATACAGCCACACCACCAAGGGTAAAGACATACCCACTGGAGGACTTCGAGTCTCTAGTATCCGATATCCAGTTTGCATCATTGCATCCTTCAAGTACTGCTGGATATCTAGTATAATTTAGCCTAATGTTACGAGTAAATCAGAAATATCTTAGAACCCTTATAATTGCTTTCCAGTGTTCTACTCGTGGATTACTCGTATATCTACTTAATTTACTTACTGCATAATCTATATTTGGGCGAGTGCAATTCATCAAGTACATTAAGCTTCCAATAATTTAGGCATACTCTAATTGAGAAATACTTTCTTATACATTCTTTGAAAGAAACAAATTAACATCCACAGGTGTTCTAGCAAGATAATCATCATCTTTACTAAATTTGTCAAGTATTTTCTCAATGTAATGAGATTGTGACAAAGCATATCCTTCTGATGTTTTGGTAATTTTCATACCAAGAATTATATCAGCAATGCCCATGTCTTTTATGTCAAAATGTTTATTCAACATTTTCTTGGTAGTTTTAATCATGTCATTATTACTACATATGATGAGCATATCATCCACATAAAGACATACTATAACATAACATTTTTCTATGTTTTTAATATAAACACATTTGTTACACTTATTAATTTTAAATCCATTTCACATCATTGCCTTATCAAATTTCTCATGCCATTGCTTTGGCGTTTGTTTTAAACCATATAATGATTTAACCAATTTACACATTTTTTTTTCTTGGAACATAAAAACCTTCTAGTTGTTCCATGTAATTTTCTTCATCCAACTCACC